TTGCTATTTATTGTATGATTCTATGACATTCAGGAAAATATAAAACTATAGGGACAGGAAACAGATCATTAGTTACCTAAGGTTAGGGTTGGGGAGAGGAGTTGATAAAAAAGAGGCACCAAGGAACTTTTTGGAGTGATGTATCTTGATTGTGGTGGTGGTTATGTGATTGTATACGTTTGTTAAAACTTATAGAAATATACACCAAAAGGAGTGAATTTCATTATACATAAATTACACCTAAATAAACCTGACTTTTACTGAAAAATGATGAGTTTTCATATTCCTAAGATGATAGCTGAGCACTTACTAAATAATGCACTGTTCTACCACTTAGATTGCATGAGCTCATTCAGTCTTCATAGTAACTCTATTTGAAAGGCACCTTGATCTTACTGATAAGGGAGGTGAGACCTAGAAAAATTAAGTAACTTGCCCAAGATGACACAGTGAGTACAGCTGGAATTCAGATCCGATAGGTGCTAAAAACTGTGGGTTTCACCACTGTTATATGGCCTCTCAAGTAACTTTAGGCTGATAAATTTAAGAGGTAAACTGGTAACATTTATGTGTGCCTGTAACTTACACTTCTGAGACTCTTTTTTGGTTCAGTCACATTTACTCTCAGATCAGAAAGTAAATGGTACACCCCCAACCCAAACAGACACACATCCCAGGAACAGATTTTTCCAGTTGCCCCAGTCAAACATCCTCAGTTAGAGTGAGAGACCATTCCTGTCAGTAGCCTTCAGTGAGCTAAGAATGAGTCAGACCTGGGTGACTATTGGTTAGGAGGATCCCCTGGAAAGTTCTAGAGGTTACGTGGCCCTCCATAGCTCCAACTCCTGACCAGGCCCCCAATCTGTATTCTCAACTGGGGACCTTGCAGTGCCAGCCCAGACACCACTGCAGCCTGGTATGACAAAGATGGAAGACTTCTTTCTTGCTTACAGAGAGCTACCTTCTCAAGGTCATTATTTTTGTGACCTGAGTCTGAGAACTCCACATCATGCTGCCTCCAACAGCAAATGATTGAAGCACTGCTTTCATTAGCTTCTGGTGCTAGCACACCCCAGAAGTCAGGGTGTCTGAGAGTCTTCCTAGCTGCTTTTCTCTACAACAGACTGCTTCTCATAATTAATTATGGAGATCAGTATAGGATAGTGGTAAAATATGGGAAACTTATGGGGATTCAGGTTCGGCTTTTACCCAGGAAAAGGGATGCTGAGCCCCACATCTAGTCTCCTGGTTCTTCCAACATGATATGTATGCTGCAAAGCCCACTGGCCATTAGCAAGGCAGTCAAGGAGTACATTTCATTACAGCAGAAGCGTTGGTCATGCACTGAATCCACTGCAGTGGAAATTTAATTGGTCTTATATCAATTTGCTCAGCCAGGGACCTTGAATCAGAAGTAGACAATGCAAACACACTGAAAGGGCAATGATACACCCTAGCACATATCTCTTTGTGTTTTCATCTTATCTGCTTTACTTAGGGACCAATTTGGTCCTCCCAGACTGCTGGTGAGTCACTGATGCCCATAAGGCCAGAGGAAAGTGCTTTGGAATCGAGGCAATACCACCTAGGCTACAGCTTAACTCATGTGTCATCAACCTTTACTGGGCCCCTGGACCAAAGACCAGAGTTGGTCTACCACCTAAAAAATGCACTTGCCCCCCAACTCTCAATATTAAGGGGACCTATTGGTACATCCGGTCAATATATGATGAAGGCAAGGAAGGCTGGGACAAATTGGGTAAGTTTTGGTGGGTTGGTGAGGAGGGGAGAAGTATAGGAGTCAGGGCACGGTTGAAGATAGGGAGCCTTTCCTGAGCTGATAGAGAGCCTTAGAAAGACATTCTTGAAGCCAGGGACATCTTGACACTGAAAACAGAGAATCAAAAATAATCAAGCAGATCCTTAGGAACAAATTTTGTCTGTTTTTGGTTTAGCCTGGAATAGAACCTATCTGTGTTGCTCTAAATTGTCATCAGTTGTTTATACCTCTGTATAAAGGAGTTTTCCCTTTTTTCTAGAGAAGCCATGAAAATACTAGACACCTGATGGAAGGCTCATGGTCAAGGGAATAAAGAACCTAGAGAAATAAGGACTGGAGACAAAAGGATCAAAATGTTGCATATGATTAGCTTTGCAGCCTAAGCATGAAGGATAAAGAATATTCAAAACTGAGTGGGACTGGCAAAAAGCACCCAAGATATCTGCTGAGATGCTAACCAAAGGCCAGTCTTCATTCCCAAATAGTGGGTGGAGAGACAGAGGCATGGGCCCTCCTTGAATCTTATTTCCTCAAACATTAGAAATAACATGCTTGAAACTATAAAGCCATCTTATATGTTTAAATAGAAAAGAAGAGGCACCTGAGTGGCTTAATAGGTTAAGCATCTAACTTTGGTTCAGGTCATGATCTCATGGTTTGTGAGTGGAAGCCCAGCATCGGGCTTTGTGCTGACAGCTTCAGATTCTGTGTCTCCTTATCACTCTGCCTCTCCCCTGATTGTGCTCTGTCTCTCTCAAAAATAAATGAACAGTAAAAAAGAATTTTTTAAGGAATAGTGCTACATTTATGGTTGTCCCTTTTCCCATTTTTTTGTAGCCTGTTTTGGTATTTCAGTCCTCTTAATAACAAAAACAAGTTCTCTTGTTGCTTCAGTAATCTTTTATTCCATTTAACTATAGGTTTGGGGTGACTGCCTGTGTAAACCTTTTTGCAAAACTTATTGCTACCAGAGGGAAAAGATGACCCTTTCCTAAAATTGCTCTGTGCTCTATCCCCAGACCATTATGAAAGAAGCATTAGTGTCTTTAAAACCCAAGTACCCATGTATGCAAAGCGCTGTGCCGATTAGGAGGACTATGTTTATCTAAAGTTATGCTGCCCTAACAATTGTGAAGATTGGGAATCCCTGATTTAAAGGAAATGCCACGGGATGGAAAGCTGAGTTATGAAGGTTCCATTTCCATGATTACTTCCACCCTCTGCAACCTCCCTCCGCCCAACTTGCTTTTTCTCATCTTACAAAATGCACCAGATCACAGTTCATTGATTTAGGTAGTCTGTTTATTGATTCGTAAACATGGATCAAGAAGCCAGACCATCATTTATGCAAATTGGCCTTGCTCAAAGCCATGGAAACTAAAATAAATCAGACCTTGGGCCAGCAAGCAGTCGGTTGGCATGACCTCAGGAGGCAGAGACTGAGTGCTCCTCATAAACCTTCTCTGTGCTTCTTTCCATGCCAAGTAGTGGTTCAGCGACAACCTGCCCTGCTCACTTGGTCTCTTGAACACCAGAAGATTCTTACCCTCACCCATCCCAAAGGTTTGGTTATCTGCAGAGTGTACCTGTATATACAATATCAGATTTCATTCCGGTTCCTAGCACCAGGGAAAAGGCCTAGAAACTTTTGACAGTACAGGTGTTTCAAGTTCAGCCTTCAAAAAAGAAGCAACATGGTGGGAGGGGGGTGGAGGAGGGCACCTGGGTGGCTCAATTGATTGAGTGTCTGGCTTCAGCTCAGGTTATGATCTTGTGGATTGTGAGTTCGAGCCCCATGTCTCTTTGCTGTCAGCACAGAGCCTGCTTCGGATTCTCTGTCCTCCTCGCTCTCTGCCCCTCCCCCTGCTCATGCTGTGTCTCTCAAAAATGAATAAACATTTATAAAATGTATTAGAAAAAAGAAGCAATATAGGTTGGTTTGTAGAAAATTTGAGAAATATGGGAAAATACAAAGCACAAATAAAATTCGCCTTCAATTATGTTTTCTAGTATTTTTTAGCCATATGTATCAGTCAACACCACCTTTAAGAATGTATTTTAGAGAAAAAAACAATAGTTATAGTACTGTTGTTTCTTCTTGTTTTCTGGGATTGCTCAATATTCTATGGAACCTTCTCACTGTTTGCTCAACCATCTGACCTGTTCAAAAATAAACCTATTCTTGGGGTGCCAGTTGGTTAAGCAGCCAACTTCGGCTCAGGTCATGATCTCACAGGTTTGTGGGTTTGAGCCCTGCATCAGGCTCCAGGCTAACAGCTCAGAGCCTGGAGCCTGCTTTGGATTCTGTGTCTCCCTCTCTCTATCTACCACTCCCCTGCTCACCCTCTGCTCTCTCTCTCAGAATAATAAACATTAAAAAAAATTAAAAAAGTAATACTCCCTTCTTGGCCAGAGAGGGAGCAGATTGAAATCCTAAATATCATATGGCAGTCTCTTCCTGATTATTTGAGATTATGTAAGACAATTCCAGGCCACGCCGTTTCCCTGTTTTGTTTTGTTTTGTTTTGTTTTTGGTGAGGGTAGGTGTGTGTGAAGGAGAATGCCAGGAAAGGTGCTGGAGTTATTTCTTAGCCAGTGGCCCTGTGACCAGCAACGGGCACGTTGGGAACACAGACTCTCAGGCCCCAAACCAAACCCACTGATTGAGAATCTGCGTTTTCACAAGATCCCCAGACGCTTCTGAGCTGTGCACCTTACATGTGAGCACTGACCTGTGGGCCCCTTTCTGGCCTTCCTCAGGTGGTATTGATTGTCAGGATTTGTGCATAACGTTCACACCTCCTTGATGTTGAAACTAGCAATAAAAATCCCACCTCCATGGGAGTAAACACCTTTTCCTCAGGCCACAGCTCACATTCCTTTGGGAAAACTCCAAATGTGTTACTTTCTAAATGCTCTGAGAGTTGTGGGGTGCTCCAAATGGAAGTCAAGGGAAGAGGCCAGTCCTCCCTACTTTGCCTCCCCTTCAAAGTCCATTCCAGGGTCAGAGCTGTTGTGTTTGTGGCTCCTTCAGACATAGCAAATCATTCACCCAGTGGGGGACAAGAAAGAGTCATAACAGAGCTCTTTAAATTCTGTTGGGGAAAAATCCGCAATGATTTTTTCCCCCTCCTTCTCCCTCCCTCTTCTCTGCAACCACACCCGCCTTATTTTATGACTGAAATGATTCATTTAACTTGTGCTCGTCCACCAGGGGGCCCCAGGAGGCACAGGCTGGGTCCTCGGGTCCTGAGGACCCTAATCAGGCAAGCTGGGATCAAGGACTCTGAGTACAGTGCTGCCAACAGAGGGAGAAAAAGAAATGACAGAAGCCAAAACAGTCGTGTCTGTCTGGCCTGCCAGCCACAACCATGTGAGGGCATCGAGATGGATGTGGGACCAGCCTGGGCAGAGCCCTCCAAAGGATGGCTGTGATCAGGCCCTCACAAGAAAGCGCAAAGCAGGTGGGTGTTCCTGGATGGCCATCTGAAGCCATCTGTGAAGAGCAGTACTACCCCCTCGAGGACGAGATGCACCTGTGTGAAGTCATTCCCCTCTCTCTTTGCAGACTTGAGAGGTGTCACAAAGTCCTTGTGCCCAGGTACCGCGGCTCCCTCTGGGTTCTGGCACTGGGCCCTCTCATTCTTTGGCAGCGTCTGACAATCCCTCTGGCCTGGCTAATCAAGCACTCACCTGGTGCCTCTCCACTCCTAGGTCTGGCTCCCCAAGCTCCTGGGGACTGATCTGCAAACTCTTCCCTGGGAGCATCTAGGACACTTATTAGGGTGCAGCAGGGGGAAGGATGGTTAAGAATGGCTCTTCTTCTTTTATTTTTATTTATTTTGAGAAAGATACAGAGAACTAGTGGGCGAGAGGCAGAGAGAAAAGGACACAGAATCCCAAGCAGGCTCCATGCAGTCAGTGCAGAGCCTGATGCGGTGCTCAAACTCTCAAACCATGAGGTCATGACCTGAGCCGAAATCAAGAGTCAGATGCTTAACCAACCGAGCCACGCTGGTGCCCCTAGAATGGCTTCTTCTTGACCCTTTGGGACTTTACAAACATCACCCTGTCCATCCCACCAAAAAAAAGTAGACGTTGAAGCTCTAGCCCCTAACGCATCAGAAAGTGACTTTATTTGGAAATAAGTCATCTTTACAGGTCATCGGGTTAAAACAAGGTCATTTGGGTGGGCCCTAACCCAATAGGACCGGCGTCACACCTGCAGACACAGATAAGCAAAGAGGGAAGAGCACGTGAGGGAAGAAGTCACAGGAGAACACCACCTGAATACAGTGGCTCCACACTATGTTTGTGACACTTGTCTGTGTATTGCATTATCCAAGCCAAGGAATGTCTGAGGCTATCAGGAGTGAGGAGAGAGACATGGAAAGGACCCTTCCGAGGCAGCATGGTACTGCCAGCACCTTGAGTTTGGATTCCTAGCCTCAGACATTGTGAATCAAAAATTTTCTGTTGTTCGAAGCCGTCCAGTCTGTGGAACATTGTATGGCGGCCCTAGGAAAGGAATACACTGAGTAAGATCAAGGAAGATGGAGATGAGGTGAAGAAGAAGATGGGTGGGAAAGTCAAGGCTGATGATGGGTAAGAGGATGCCGAGAGCGGCTGAGTACCGCCAGGGGTGCATATGTGTGTGTGCACATCTGACAGTGTGAAAATGGATCTGTGAGCTCACCAAGCCCGAAGATTTTTCCTTCATAGGAAGAGCACATGAGAGGCAAAATGAACATTAAATCGTAGTCCAGCTCCACTGGAACAGGTAAGAAAGAGGAATCTTGTCTCTGACATTATGTAATTGATTTCAACCCATTTGTTCTGCAGCAGAGAAAACGAGAAGCAGGGAAGCTAAATTCCCTAGAGCCTTCCAGCAGCGGATAACTGAGTGTGGCTGGAAATCCAGTTTTCTGACTCTTAGCCCTGGGTAGTGCCATTCTGTCACACCGACCCTCAGAGGCTTACTTTTGGTCAGCGCACAGGGATTTACTCTGTCACCAATTCTTTCAAAGATTACATTCTGATTCCTTTTTTTTCTTTTTTTTTAAGGAAACGATTGCAATGTAGCCTACATACAGAAATATGTCTGTAAGTGGACAGCTCAGTGCGTCTATATCCATGTAAGCAGCACCCAGACAAAGAATTAGTACATCACCAGCACCCCTGAAGCCTTCCTACTCCTCCCAGTTGCTAAGGCCAACAAAGGAACCACTATCCTGACTTCTAACATTGCAGATTGGTTTTGCCTGTTTCTGAGCTTGATATAAATGGGATTTCACAGTACGCTTTTGTGTCTGCCTTCTTTCACTCCACACTATGTTTGTGAGATTTGCCTGTGTTTTGCATATGGAGTAGTTCATTCTCACAGCGATAGAGTATTCCATGGTGCTGGTCTTTTTGAACAAAATCAGGGGGTACACACAGAGAGAAGTGCCATGAAATAATTCAAGCTGGTCCTTAAAAAAAAAAGTTAAAGCAAAGGGACTACGGAAACAACAACAAAAAAAGTTGGTTAATCTTTACAAATTGGATGCAATTTATTGGCCATTCATTAAAAGCCACTTTCCCAGATCACTTCCCAACCTCCCTCTCCTCTCCTGTGTCCCTGGATTCCCACAGCCTCACTGTGTCACACTGGGCTGACCCAGTCTAGATGGATAGGATAGTGGCTGCAGGTTAACAAGCTGTGTTCTACCTGGGTGAACCCATCTCGACTTCAGAATTTCTCCGAGCCTACACTGTCACTTGACCAGCAGGGTTCCTGTGCATTCAGCAGCATCAGACCACCTTCACCACCAGGCAGGGAAGCCACCTCTCACATCTGGAATTTTGGAGTTATTCCCTTTGTCTGAATCAGCCTCCGAATAAAGCTCCTGCAGCCCAGAGGCCAGAACGAAGGGAGTCTGCAGGAGTGGGCTGGTCCTCTGCCCAGTCCCTCCCTTTGCAACCACGGCTAAAAGTCACTCCCACTGCTTTCTCAGGCTCTGGTCTTCATTCCCAAGAGCTGTGTGGCTGGATGGGGCTGCCCTCTTCTCTTCTTTCTCTTGGCAGACTGCAATTGCGTCTGGTTTCTTCATGCTGACCAACTTTTCTGGGGTCTCCTTTTTGCTGGTAACAATGACTTAATCCCAAAATGCAGCTTAAAGGGAGCCCCTATGCAAATCAGTGGGACTGCCTTCTTGAGCCTGAGTCCATATATGGTACAGTCCCTGAGCCAGGACAGGGAGAGTGGGGAGTGTAAGGCAGCACAGCTGATTCACCAGCTGTCTCTCTCTCTCTCTAAGCTAAGCCTGCCCACTCCAGTTTCCAGTGAAGTCAGCACTGCACCCGCAACAAAAGGTTAAGATGGAGAACTTTTTGGGAGGCTGCTACATAGTTTTTACTTCTTTCCAGACTCCCTAGTTCCTGAGAACCTGTCATCTCTCCAGTGTAGTCAAATTAAACTAGTTAATTTGACTGGTGGGTTTTCTTCAGCACTTCTGGGGTGGAGGTGGGTAGGGGGACATGTAGGTAGACGTGGGTAGGTGGACATGAAGACAGGAGACCCTTCTAGCTCAGAGGCTTGCTTGAGCCCGATCAACAAAGCAGACCCTTTGGAACTGGAAGCAGTCATGGGGCCCCACCCTGACACTGGGCAGAGTTCAGTGTTCACAGCCCTTAGTTGGAGCCTTGACTATTTTTTGGTCTCTACTCTTAGCTAGTTTTTATTCGTTCCATCTGAGCAATAGAACTAAGAAATTCTCAAACATAGGAAAGAATATTGGAGTCTGGGTTGCCAGACTCTACTTAAAACTCATTAATGGATAATCATGTTCTTTTTATTAGCACCCTGATGCCCCATTCCAGTGCCTGTTAAAAACAAATCCTTGTGCTAGACCCTGGCAGTGGTGTGCTGGAGCCAGCTCAAACTGGTCGCGAACCTAGTTGTTACGTTTTCAGGAAGTTTGCAAGCCGATCATGAAACACAATTATTAAAGGTTAAGTCACATAAGATCAAAATAAAAATAATAGAATAGAATAGATCAAAATTTAAATTATTTAAAACAAAGGTAATAACAGTCAAAACTCATTCACTTCCTAATTATTTTACTACATTTTACCATGCTCTGGGCTCTTGAGGTAATTCACATCTATTGAATCTGTGTGGTGGAAACATCATATAATGGTGTGCTTCTACATCTCTTTGAACTCCTTGTTCAGTAACGTCACATCAGGAGTTTGAAATCGGGTGATGGGAGAATATATTTCATGGAAGACAATACACATCGGGTGGCTTCCCCCCACCCCTTCCCAGAGCCAATTAGTAACCTTGTCCAGCATGCCACTGACTCTGGGGTCATCAAAGAATGATTTACTCCCTGGCACTCAAGATGGTTATGAGGTAGTGAGGGAGACAAGTCCTTCAAGACTTCAGTTGGGCAGTGTCTCCTCTAAAATGCCAAAAGAAGTGAGCAAAAGGGCTTTGAAGTTGGAGAGACCTACTGTAGCATCCCAGTTCTGCCACTTACTGGCCAAGTCACCTTAAATAAGTTACCCGATGTTTTTTTTTTTTTTTTTTTTTTTACAAATAGTTTATTGTCAAATTAGTTTCCACATAACACTCAGTGCTCATCCCCACAAGTGTCCTCCTCCATGCCCATCCCTCCCTCCCCCCCACATCCATTAGTCCTCAGTTTTTGTCAGCATTCAAGAGTCTCTCATGGTTTGCCTCTCTCCCTTTCCCCCACCATTTCCCCCCTTCTTCTCCCCCTTGTTCCTCCGTCAAGTTCCTCCTAATCCTCCTATATGTGCACACATATGATATTTGTCCTTCTCTGCCTGACTTATTTCGCTCAGCATAACACCCTCAAGGTCCATCCATGTTGCTACACATGGCCAGATTTCATTGTTTCTCATTGCCATGTAGTATTCCATGGTATAGATAAACCACATCTTCTTGATCCATTCATCTGTTGATGGACACTTAGGCTCTTTCCATGTTTTAGCTATTGTGGAGAGTGCTGCTATGAACATTGGGGTACATGTGCTCCTATGCCTCAGCATTTCTGTATCCCTTGGGTAAATTCCTAGCAGTGCTATTGCTGGGTCATAAGGGAGTTCTATTGTTAGTTTCCTGAGGAACCTCCACACTGTTTTCCAGAGGGGCTGTACCAGTTTACATTCCCACCAACAGTGTAGGAGGGTGCCCGTTTCTCCACATCCTCGCCAGCATCTAGAGTTCTCTGATTTGCTCATTTTAGCCACTCTGACTGGCGTGAGGTGGTATCTCAGTGTGGTTTTGATTTGTATTTCCCTGATGAGGAGGGATGCTGAGCATCGTTTCATGTGTCTGTTGGCCATCTGGATGTCCTCTTTGGAGAAGTGTCTGTTCATGTCTTCTGCCCATTTCTTCACTGGGTTGTTTGTTTTTCGGGCGTGTAGTTTGGTGAGTTCCTTATAGATTCTGGATATTAACCCTTTATCTGATATGTCATTTGCAACTATCTTTTCCCATTCCGTTGGTTGCCTATTAATTTTCTGGGTTGTTTCCTTGGCTGTGCAGAAGCTTTTAATCTTGATGAGGTCCCAACAGTTTATTTTTGCTCTTGATTCCCTTGCTTTTGGGGATGTGTCAAGTAAGAAGTTGCTGCGGTGGAGGTCAAGGAGGTTGTTTCCTGCTTTCTCCTCTAGGGTGTTGATAGTTTCCTGTCTCACGTTCAGGTCCTTTATCCATTTTGAGTTGATTTTTGTGCATGGTGTGAGAAAATGATCTAGTTTCATTCTTCTGCATGTTGCTGTCCAGTTCTCCCAACACCATCTGTTAAAAAGGCTGTCTTTTTTCCATTGGATATTCTTTCCTGCTTTGTCAAAGATCAGTTGGCTGTATACTTTTGGGTCCACTTCTGAGTTCTCAATTCTGTTCCATTGGTCTATGTGTCTGTTTTTGTGCCAATACCATACTGTCTTGAGGATGACAGCTTTGTAGTAGAGGCTGAAGTCTGGGATGGTGATACCTCCCGTTTTGGTTTTATTTTTCAGTATTACTTTGGCTATTCGGGGTCTTTTGTGGTTCCATACAAATTTTTGGATAGTTTGTTCTAGTTTTGAGAAGTATGCTGGTGCAATTTTGATTGGAATTGCATTGAATGTGTAGAGTGCTTTAGGTAGTAATGACATCTTAACTATATTTATTCTTCCTATCCATGAGCATGGAATGTTTTTCCATTTCTTTGTGTCTTCTTCAATTTCCTTCATAAGTTTTCTATAGTTTTCATCATACAGATCTCTTGTATCCTTGGTTAGGTTTATTCCGAGGTATTTTATGGTTTTTTGTGCAATTGTGAATGGGATCAGTTTCTTGATTTCTCTTTCTGTTGCTTCATTGTTGGTGTATAAAAATGCAACCGATTTCTGTACGTTGATTTTGTACCCTGCAACTTGGCTGAATTCTTGGATCAGTTCTAGTAGGCTTCTGGTGGAGTCTGTCGGGTTTTCTATGTAGAGTATCATGTCATCTGCGAAGAGTGAAAGTTTGACTTCCTCTTTGCCAATTCTGATGCCTTTGATTTCCTTTTGTTGTCTGATGGCTGATGCTAGGACTTCCAGCACTATGTTAAACAACAGTGGTGAGAGTGGACATCCCTGTCGTGTTCCTGATCTCAGGGGGAAAGCTCTCAGTTTTTCCCCGTTGAGGATGATGTTAGCTGAAGGCTTCTCATAGATGGCTTTGATGATGTTTAAGTAGGTTCCTTCTATCCCAACTTTCTCGAGAGTCTTTATTAAGAAGGGATGCTGTATTTTGTCAAATGCTTTTTCTGCATCTATTGACAGGATCATATGGTTTTTATCTTTTCTTTTATTGATATGATGTATCACATTGATTGTTTTGCGAATGTTGAACCAGCCCTGTAACCCAGGAATGAATCCCACTTGATCTTGGTGGATGATTCTTTTTATATGCTGCTGGATTCGATTTGCAAGGATCTTGTTGAGGTTACCCGATGTTTTTGAATCATTTGCCACATGGGAATAATAGCATCTCCTCATAAGATTGACACAGGGATTTAATGGTAAAGACATAAGGATATCGAAAGGGGATTTCTGATTGAGGGAACAGCATGAGGAGTAACACAGAGGCATAAATGTGAAAGCACTTGCCAGGGAATGCCTGGTGGCCTAGTGTGTCTGGATATTCAGATACACCAGAAATAACAAGAGAGACAGAGTGTAGGTATGGTGTGACCCTGGAAATGCAGGATTAACAGGGAGGGAAAAGCCAAGCCTGAATGGCATAGGACTGGGAG